AACTGTTCTCAATATCTGCCATTGTTCCCTCTGGGAGTAAGACCCCCTCTGGGTGTACTACCTTCCTGTACTACCTCTTTTTGTCACCATCCAACTACAGTTCTCAAGCCCCAGTGACATTCCAATGTCTGTGATGTAGATCCTGATGGTGTGGATCAGTGAGTTGAGTCTCGCTCTCTCTTAACGTACAACTTGATGTCATCCATGGAGAGGAGATGACTGATGGTGGCCCTGTTTCTGAGTTGTATCCATAGATGGTGCAGTTGATGATTTGGCTGAGGCAGAACTCTACAATGCGGCCATTTCACTTGCATTTGCAAGCAAATATTTCGGCATGCGAACAAGGAAACCAAAACAAAGCCACAAAAAGGAGAGCCCTGCACACAGATGTAACGTGATGAGTTAGATATTCTAAACTGTATCAAAAAACAAAGCAGCCAAAACAATGTAAAATGTATCAGTCATTAAGGGTACACTCACACTAGGACTTCAGAACCGTGCCTAAGCAGGCATAACACAGATAACCCCTAAAGCGCAGTACATTTGTCCAGTGTGAGCACAATCAAACCGTGCTTGAGCACGGCAAGGTTTTAAAGTCCTAGTGGCTGTTAACTGGAAAGAGGTCATGTTGACTTAATTACCAATCTTGGCCTACCAATTATGACATGATTTTGTCTAAACTTAATCTGTAAATATACATATATATATATTTTTTTTTTAAATTCAATTTTATGTTTTATGTTAGTCTGTAGGAAGAAACCTTGGGCAGATCCATGACTCAAGAGTCTAACCCAACTGACAGCAGCCATCCATCCATCCATCCATGCAATTTCTTCACTGTAATAAATGTTCAAAACAAAAACCTACTTATGCCCCCATTTTTTTCTGTGCTCGTAAAATGTTTTAATTTAAGGCTACATGTGTTTCTGAAAAAAAAAATATAATTATATATATATATATATATATATATATATATATATATATATATATATATATATATATATATATATATATATAAATTATTAAAAATTAGCATAGAGCCCTGGACTGAGGGGGTTCAGACCTATGCAGAACAGCATCATTATTCATTTGTTCTTGCTTCATCACATCAAACTAGAAATGCAATATTTTTTGCTATTTTTGTGTTCTTTATTGTACTCTACCAAAATATGAAATATATAATAATCATAATAATCATTTCACAAAATCCTGAAAAGCCCAATTTTAACTTTAAGGAAAACATATTGGGTAGATAGTGTATCGCAGGTCATGTTATTTAAACATTTACAAATGTTAGTTGTGTATCAGTAATAAAAAGAAGCACCAAAAATTGGTCTTTTCACATATTGATTTACACCATTATTGATTGATTGACAACTGTGGTTTGTATCCATATTGGTGTAAATAATTTGTGTATGAGAAAAAAAGCAGTTTAACTTCTATGCCACTTGCCTATGTTTATATGAAGAGCAGTTCCTGTAAGCATCACCACTCAGGACTGAAACTCCTCCAAGGACTTCAGAGCAGACTCGTATTTAACAAAAAGCTGCAGGTCCCACCGGAGCACCATGACTCACCAACAGGCTAAAACTGTTTATTTTCCACTACTCTGAGCCCTCTTCAGGAAATCACTAACACAGCTGGGTTCACACAGGGTGGCCAGTTTTCATTTGATAAAAGTGTCTATGAAATGAAGGGGTCCAGTCGGACTTAGTAGCCTATTTGCTTTTTGTTAGGACTTTGTTGCAATGGTTCCAATATATCTAAAGGTGCTTAGAAGAAACTGAATAATGTTATGCTATCTAACATTGAGGTACATAAACCTGAACACAGAATGATGAACTTGTATCTTTTTAATCAACCTGTCATCCAGCGTTCATTTGTTGTTCAACATGAGGCATATTTGTCTTGTATAAATTTTGTTTAATGGGATGAGCCTGTTAGAAGGTACCTTCTAGAGTTGTGTTTTTTTATTGACACATGCTTGGTTAATTCTAGTTTACTAGTCAAAAGCTCAACATGGTGGTCTACCTTATGACCTATCACATAGTGGTAATTTTGTAGTTTACAGCTATATTTTACCTTTAGTTCAATAGAGATTGGCAATTCCAGAGCTAAAATAATCCAAATAATGCTAATGAAAGTGTATGGAGTTTAAAAACATAGTGGAGCACTTCCTGTATTACAACAATAACATCACAAGGTTGAGTGTTTTCTATTTGAGTGAAAATCTCAGCCTAAATATGCAGGGTTTGTGTGTTAAACATGTGTGAATAAAATAAAGTGCAACACCAGGTATGTTTGTGATGAGGAAACAACATTAAAATAAAGTTCAGAAAAATAGCGTAATATGAGCCCTTTAATAAAAAGTCTTTCAAAATAACTGATTTGATCCCAACATGGATAAATTTTGCTTTCTATTCTTTCCCTCTTTTAATATTTACAAACCCAACCCAGACTCAAAAGCGTGACTCTGTCAAGACTAAACTAAACTAAAGATTAAAAAGGGTTTGATTTAGGATCAACTAACAATAAGTGTGAATGAACCCTATAAGGTCAAATGTTTTCTGAATTGAAATTGGTTCCTTCATGTATGGGTTGCTCAGTTTAGTATCCGTGTCATTATTTAACTATAGGACAGGCTGGAGCACCAAGCATTTAAGTTAACCTAAGACAACTAATGAAATCTGTTATTCCATGGAGATCAGACCTTACATTAGCTCTTGCAGCCCATTTGCCTTTAATCTGCATTGTAATCGCTATCTTCTTGGCTGTAGACTCCACTCTCATTCACAGTGTGGCAGTGTGGCAGATTCTGGTGCGGCTTTAAGCTGAAAGACGCTTTGGATCTGTTTTCAGCAAAGGTTTAATTACTAAGTAGTGCTGTGTTTGTTAAACACATCGAGAGCTTTGACCTTTAAAGCCAGAGATCTGAACTACGCACTATAAGGATTTAGTTATTCACAAATAGTGTCAGGCATCTTTCAGCGTGAACTCATTTTCAAGCACTTGTATAGAGCACACAAAAACATGCTTTAGATGTATATGACTGGTATATAACCTCTATGGCTTAGATTACACTCATCTTGAGAAGAGCAGTTTCTACACACAGGGGAATTAGACATTGCATAATATTGTATAGTGTTTGTGTTGTTGGGTTTCAGATGACATTGTGGCATTATATAGGGCCAATAACATTTAATACAGATGAAGGACACCTAAAACAGAGATTGTTTTATTATACATTTGTTGTAATATGATGAGATATAAAAGCTAGTCATTAATAGAAATGATCTGGTTAAATTATTGTGAATTTGCTGTTAAGATATTTTACAGCAAAGTACAATATAATCAATAGGGAAAACTGGCTACTAATATATGCACTCAAATTGGCCCATTGTTCTTGAACTTGTCAGGTATTCCTTTGTGTGAATATAGGATCCATTCCATTGTATAGTTTATCATCTCCATCCCTATACAGTAGGAGACAGAGGGTGGATTTAAACAGACTTAAGCCGCTCAGTGCAGTGGTTTTGTGGTGTGCTGTGAGGTGAGACAGAGGTGTGGAGGATCATGTTATTATCAGACAGAGGAGGCGTCCTAGGGGGGGCTACTGATCTGCTCTAAGGCCTGACCTGGAAACGCAGCCGACTGCAACCTCCAAGAAGCAAACTCACTCACATACAAAGTACTCTATCTCCACTATCTCATTCTTTGCCACAAACAAAGACTGGTGTATGCGCGGTAAAGTGTAATCCTCGATTGCGATCTAAGTTGAATGCTTATTTTATTTATTTTAAATGTGCAAAATCTACCAGAATTCAAAACAAGGCCATCTAGGACATCGCTGTGAAAATACTTGCAATACAGTAGGGCTGTGCAATTAATTTGCCTTTTTTTTGTTTTGTTTTGTTTTGTTAAATGGCAATCATTAAAATCTGTATTGAGAGGGAGAGAGGGAGACTGGAGGACTGGTCAAGTAGGGTCAGCAAATCTGTGTCAGGGCTGTTGTACACAAGAGAACACAACAGGAGGTCTCACTCTTGCTCCTCACGGGTGTTTTGGTTGGTGATGAAATGGTCCATTCTCTCTAAGTCAGGGGTCTCCAACCTCTAACCTGTAGTTCGGGAGCCACCAGTAGTTCTCCACCTCCTTCCAAGTAGCTCGCCAAAGAATTTCGGAATAATAAGTTTTGTGCTTAATAACAAAAATTAGATGAATAGAATGACTATTAAAATTGTAAATGTATCATTTTCATGCCTAACTTTACTTTCCACACTAATAAATGGATGATGGTGTATGTTTTATAGGTTTCTAACTGTTCCTATCTAAGACTGTGGCTCTTATATTTACTCAATTTGTTGCCACTGCTAAAATGAGTAGCATTCTTGCATTTTCGTTTTCTAAAAACTCACTGGAGAAAAAAGGTTGGAGACCCCTGCTCTAAGTATTTCCTCTGGAAGGTGTAATATGGTGTAAAGAGCCTGTAGTATCTCAAAGGTCCATAGCTAGCTCCTTAATTATAGTTAACTCACTGTTTATTTCACACAATCCAACAGTAGGGACTGTACTTGTGTCCTTTGAACTGCACATGCACGCACTTCTTAGTTGGTCTAAAAACAAAAAGTTTCTAACCGTTCATATGTAGGCTCAGTTCAATATTTTTATGTTCAAGAAATTAATATTAAAAGCTGTTCTATTTGTTTAAAAAAGTAAAATGTTTCACCCAGCCCTACTATACAATTTGTATTTTGTGATGTGTTACTAAATCCACACAATTCTGTCTCTTCAGGTTTTCAAGGCTACCTGTGGCTCTCCCCTCTTCCCCCATGTGCCCACACCACCATGGCCTCCCCCAGTTGCTCTGACCTGATGGAGACCACACCTCTCTCCTGATAGGATGCCTGTGCTGCCCTCTCCGCTGCCTCCCCTCCTGCCCGCCATCACCACCACCTCCTCACACCCGCCCGCTAAGCTCTGCCCCGCTTCTCTCCTCCAACATGGTGGATGAAGTCACCACCATGAAGGATGATGTCATCAACGCCAACACACTAGCTTGGCTGGTCTGTTCAGGCGTGTCTATTTTGGCCAATACATGGAGCATCCTAAGTGTCAGTGCCAAGCAGAAGAAGTGGAAGCCATTAGAGTTTCTCATATGCACATTGGCTGGGACACATATATTGAACATGGCCATCCCCATCACCATGTACTGCGTCATCACTCTCAGGAGGCAGCACTCCAACTACGAGTGGAACGAAGGGCTCTGTAAGGTCTTCGTGTCCACCTTCTACACACTCACGCTGGTCACATGCTTCTCTGTCACGTCCCTGTCTTATCACCGCATGTGGATGGTGCGCTGGCCAGTTAACTACAGGTGAGACTGAGCTTTTTTCAAACTTTTTATACTTTATATGCCGACTTTCCTCCTGCTTTCTTTTCAGTTCACTCCCTTGTCTATGCTCAGATCTTTAGTCATTAGATGCACTTTGAAAGCCAAGTATATTTTGATAGTTTCCTTTGTGTAGTCTATTGTATTCTATTCTAAGCTAGACAGTGTTTTTAAATACATTTGCTTCTCATTTAGTTTTGACAGAGTTCTGGTAAGACATTGCCTTATATCTGTCTGAAACGAAGAGTTCAATTAAGTGTTAGAATTTGGCCTACAGTAACAGGACAGGAATATGTAAGTTTATGCCATCACAGAACATTACGGGCTGAAAGTTTGTTCACTCAATCTTGCAGGTTCCAGACATTTAAAGATGCAATCTATATTTTTGTGCATTGATGTAAGAAATCACATCACATTTAGCTGATGTTCTAGCTCTGATGTTCTATTATATTTCATACACTGCTATATTTTTTGGATGAACGTTGTCAGAGGTGCGGCCTCTTTATTGATCCGAAGATCCAACACTCTTTCGTTTCAAAATAATAAGTGTTTCTTTCTGTTAGATTGACTCTGTTCTCTCAATTTCTCAATTCAAACTTTTATAATTACATCATGCCCTCAGCTAGGGTGAGCACCTGTCTCTGTCTTCATTCCACTTTTATAGAGAAAGTTCCACATACATGCTATAAAAATATACTTACATAGAAATCAAGATAACATTAATATTCTTCACTTTTTGTGGGTCCTCTTTTTTTAGGTTGTTATCCAAGCCTAAGTTTATCATGTACATTCCACCATTTTCTCACCAATCACCCAGTTTGTCTCACTTTTGGTACTATTTGAGGTGCTCAACCGAAAAGCACATCTGTGACTTTGGATACAGTACACAGACCTGTTCCATCTACATTTACTATCTGACTGTGGACCCTGTTATTTTCGTCTTTTATTACAGAAAATATTAGTTTATAGTACTGTTTCACCATAACTTTTTAACAACACATGTTTGGGGTATCACAGTGAAAAAGACTCTAGACTAAACATCTGCTCTCATCTCAGCAGCCTCCAGTTTCTTTAGGCTTCTTAGCAAAAGTGATTTTGACAAAGTAGCGCTGAATAAAGATGAGTTCACCTCACATTAGCTGCAGACACCCCGCTGCAGTAACACAGTTTAGGTCCTGTTAGACTCCCCCGACATCTGCTGTTCACGCGTAATCACATGTTCCACTGCTTTCACAACAAGACACTGCTATTTATGTAACAGGACGGCCATCTTTGTTCTCATCTACTGCACAATAATTCATTAGATCAGGTCTTAGATATAGAGCTCAGCATCAAGTTATTAAGTTGGTGTTTATACATGGATAGAATCAATGTGTTCACAAAGTATTACACACACAATAAGATAATGTTGGCCACTGTATTGTACTACTTTATAACAAACATACATCAAACTACGGTAAACTAAATGTTCCTAAGTATGCCATTAAACATATTACATTTACTCAGTTGGGTTTTCATTACTTGCAGGGCCTGTCCCCCTGTTCCAATAACCAATCCCTACTGACCAGACAGTCTAGCATTAAGCATTAGCTAGTAGAGTAGAGTAGTCACGTGATGTTCCAGCAACAATGTGTTTCTGTTATTTGTCTGCTGGAATAAAGAGGCAATCGAAATATGTAAATGTTCCCCTGAGATGATAAACCAGGACAAGGGGCTTTTTTACTCTCACACATCTGGGATACTGTCCTGAAGAAGTCAGACTGCAGATGACGCTGTCTGTTTAAATCAAAAAAACAAATCAACACTAAATTAACCTTATTAGACTATTAACTAGCGATGGGCAAATGGAGCCTCGTGAAGCATTGACACCTCAGTCACAATATTGTCTCAAATGGTTCAACGTGTCTGAGGCCTTCGAGAAACACTGACCTCTAGTGGACAAATTTAACCCTTGGCACGCAGGTGTCTCAGCATCGATGAAGTATCATTAGTGTAAGACAATACTTGAGTGCAGAGCATACACAGTACCTAACAACAACATTAATAATGATGATTTAAAATAATATGTAAAGAGCAACATAAATAGCATGCTGTAAATAAGAAAATAGGTGACCTTCTTCGGTGGAATTAGATCAAAGTGATCCCAAACCATGGATCGCTTTTTTCCAATTGTAGATGCCATCGAAAATGAAACAAATGCCAAAAGTCACCAAAATCACCACTAATGTCACACAATACTCCTCACTACCCAACATTTTTAAGAAATATTGGTGCATCTTTTATACTGTAGCAGTTTAGCGCTTGTCAAACCACGGAAGTGCGCTGAACACTCTGAAGCACTCTGAACCAATCGCAGAGCGGAACATTCGCTGAGCCAATGAAACGCTTCGATACACTGAAGCGATTGACACGCAGAGCGAAGCAGTAGGAGGAGGGACCAACACTTTGGAGAGCAGCTGCTGCGAGACGAGCTCTGAGGCAGTGCTTCGGAGCAATTTGTTTCGGAAAGAACGAGATGTGCTCCGGAGCTCAGTCTCATTTGCCCGTCACTACTATTAACCTTTCCAGATTAATTTATCATAGGCTATTTGTCAACCATTTAAGTAACAATGATTCAATCACTTCTTCAAAAAATAAAATACTAATTGTGCTTTATAGTGTAGATAAGTTAAAGCTTACATAATTCCATACTTGCTGTTATTATAAACTCTTAAGGGCGTGGCTTTTTGGTGACAATAACATGACCTGAACTACAGATCTGAGCCTTGTACTAAACTGCTGTATCTGCTGCTCCCACTGTCTCTTCTTAATGGTAACACACTGAAGCAGCTCTGGTGACGTAACCTATCATAGCCCCGTGGCACATTCAAGAGAGCCCAGCTTTATTACTCGCATGTGACAACAGGACTTGTCTGAAGCTACAGTGGTTTCATCTGTGCTACTCATCACTCATCTAACTCAGCTAACATGCACCGACACAACTTAAGTTACTAATATGAACTGCTGCTAATACTTTCTAACATCTGGCTTTCTGCAGACATTTGTGGGCTATGGCAGTAAAAGTAATATCCTTAACGATTTGAATGTGACCCACTTTGGGAATCATTTAAATCTAGTGTTGTTTTATATGTGTCTAAAATTCAAGTGAAATTGACAGTGTTGGGTACAGTGATACAGAATTACATACAGAATACAGAAAATTATCTTTGATTATATAAATGATCAGTGTAGCTGCATATTAAATTTTGGATTTGGGTTTATACTTACTGTGGTTAATACTTACTATACACACTCTGCTTGGGAAATGGGATTTTGAGCAAAACAGTAGATGTGCTTTTTTGGAGGGGGTCCGCTATCTGTCTGTCTCCTTGGGAATATTGCTTTGCCAGGCCCAGGAAATGTTCCATATATGACATTAAACTTATCTTTTATTTATTCAATAACAAATGTTTTTTAGCCCAAATATACCTTTGAAACTCATGCATTTGTACACTCATACACTCATACAGCCTCTCCACAGATCTGATAGATCACTGGACCTAGTGTTGTGACCTGCTTGTCACTAAAGAAACAGATATGTTTAATCTGTGTAGAACATCTCAGGCAAACCATTATAATCTCCACGGAGTGGCTCCTCCACCAGAAAAATTTGACTGTGCATCTTTGTATGTGCTGAAGTAGATTTTACAAGCAATGGGTGAATGTGAAAGTTTGTTAGTAAGAAATTTATAAAATACTTTTAAAAGAATCAGCATATATGCTAATTCACATTTTTGTTAGTGTTAAAATTCTGATTTAATGTTGGACTAAAATCCTGAAATGTCTACCATCACTATTATGCCTCCTAACTTGCCTGCACAGGTTCTTTTGACACAAGTATGCAGTACTCCTGATTAGGGATGGGCATTCGATGAAATTTTCTTAATCGATCGTCGGAAGAATTAACGATCGATTATCGATTAATCATTAACGTTTTTATATTAAAATGATCATCATTATTATTACTATCTGCACTACTAATCTGCATAAATAAATTCCACATATAAACCGTAACGACTCTAGAGCCACATCAATCCATTTGACATTATAACGTGTTTAATTCAGTTTTGTGCAACTCTCACAGAAACGAAACTTAAACCGCATCGCTAATTTGCATAAACTCAGCGAAGATAAAACTACAGCTCTTGTGTCGCTGATACGGTCAGTTTCTGTCGGATTAAAAGACATGACTCAGTGGAATACAGGTTAGTGTGACCATATGCGTTTGTCAAAACCAGGACACCGTACGGGGATAGGGAGGTGGGTCCTCGTCATCGACATTGCGCGTCTCTCACCTGGCAAAACTTTTTCCCACTGGACACCGAAACATATGTTCCTGCTTTATACACTGTGCACATGGACTCACACTTGTCCCGAACGCAACAGAAAGCGCGGAATTTCTTGTACAAGTCACCATTAAATACGCATTTGTGCTTCGGTACGCTGCAGACTGACCGAATGTTTGTGTCTCGCTCCTGAGTGCAGAGAGCTACATGTACGGAGCCCTGTTTGGTCACGCTACGCACAGCAACCTACAGTCGGTTTGTCGATTAAAATTAACGTAATCGATGAAATTCTTAATGATCAATTATCGATTAATCGATTAATCATGCCCATCCCTACTCCTGATACTAGCCCCTGGAAATCGATCATTTTGTCATTTGCTGGTCACTGAATAACTTTGATCTGTTGTTGTTTGGAAATACATTTCTTAGACTCTGAAAAGTCATCTCACATATATAACAAAACATTGATTTTTGGCTGATTACAAATATTGAATTTTGTGTCCTTCGGTTTGTTTGTCATCTGTGCTTGTATGAAACCAGGAATATTACTGTTTCCTGTTATAATGGACACAGTCAAGGCCTGCAGAAACTACATACATAAAAGCATAGTATTTTAGCAAGTAAAATGATGAGCTAGAGAAAGACTAGACAGTTCTACTGCACAGTTGAATGCAAATATGAATGTCCTTTGCAAACAACAGAATATGTTGTCTGGACCCCTACAGACATATTCAGAAATACATGGAATTCTTGTTGTAATTTAGCAGCTGGTGCGGTTGTAGATTTTATGTTGAATAACTTGGACTATGAATAGCCAGCTAGACTTAGTTAAGTGAAAAAATATCAGGCCTGAAGTACATCCTTTCCTTGAATTGCCTAAATGAAACTGAATTTAAAGGTCTCATATTACGTTATACACACATCCTTCACTAGAATTTGAATAATTTCAGCCCTGAAATTGCCTACCTCTGCTGAACAAAAGGTAAAAAGTAATTGTAACTTAAAAACAATGACATCACAAGGTGGAACAGAGCATTTTGAGCTTTGGAGATGTAGACAGACTAACAATAAAGGGTTACTCAAACTCAAATGTGTGAATGGAACAAAACACAATTCCAGGTATGTTTTTGATGAGGAAACAACATTCTAATTTGGCTTAGAGCTCACAAGAATCCATTTGGTGTTTTACATATATATAGGACCTGGGATAGGCTTTGTTTATTCTACACCTATTTAATTACACCAGAACAATAAGCCATCCACCTGTAGTTTGAAGAGAAACTTTATACTCAGTATTTAAAACCCACAGATCTCTGTTATTCACTTGGTGTGCAAAATGGTATACGATCATTTTATATTGTATAATGCTTTAAAATTTGAGGATTAATAGTTGTAAATGTATCTCTTTCAGGTTGAGTAACACAAAGAAGCAGGCAGTACACACAGTCATGGGCATCTGGATGGTTTCCTTCATCCTCTCCACTCTGCCGGCTGTGGGCTGGCACGACACCATCGACCGCTTCTACACGTCAGACTGCCGCTTCATCGTCACAGAGATTGGCCTGGGCTTCGGTGTTTGCTTCCTCCTGCTGATAGGGGGCAGTGTGGCCATGGGGGTCATCTGCATTGGCATTGCCCTCTTCCAGACCTTTTCCATCCAGGCTGGACACAATGCCGACAAAAACAAGTTCAACGTTCCGACTATCGTGGTGGAGGACGCTCAGGGAAAACGCAGGTCGTCTATAGATGGTTCTGAACCGCTCAAGACTTCACTGCAGATCACCTACCTGATCAGCGGCATTGTCTTCATCTATGACTTCCTGACTGGATTCCCCATACTGGTGAGTTGGTCAATGGTCATATTTTTATACCGTGCTTTTCCACCTTCAATGCACTCAAAGCACATTACACCAAGGAACTACTCACCCCTTCACACACACCCATACACCAGTGTATGCCGACGCTGGGGCTGCCGGTATATAGCATTCATCTCTGGGAATTGCTCCACTGGTCAGTATGTCTAACCACTCAGACAGTGATGTTGATTTTCATGTGGATAGCACTCTACCAACTGAGCTACAGTTGTTATAACTAATGCAATGCTTTCGCATGGGAAATTAAATTAGTATTAATACAAGTGCAACTATACAACCTTGAGAATGCCTGATTGCATCTGTCCTTGGAAAATAAGCAGGATTGGGCTTGGTTAGTATTCAGATGATAGTAGTAGCAATATAGCAAGTGTTGTGGTGGGACAGTAATGGCTCAGTGGTTAGAGCGCTCGTGCACCAACCTGAAAGTCGGCAGATTGATTCCTTCTCAGACCGGTGCATTCTGTCATTGTCTCTTTGGGCAACTCACTTCAATCACATACCTAATAAGAATATGGTGCGTGTGAGTAATTGGTGTCAGAGGGGCTGAATCAATAATGCTTTGTAAGGCACTTTGGGTTTTCTAAAAGGCACTATATAAATCAATGTAAATGTAATAATAATAATGACTTAGGTCTATGTAGCGCCTTTCAAGATACTTATAGCACTCTATATCCTTCCTTCATTCATATGAAGATGTACTTGTTATAGCACACACAAACAATTAACAAAATGTTTCCTCAGACTCACACACTTGCACTTGAAGTCACTCATCACAACCTCTCATGTTTAAATAATCAGAATAGATGGAGCAGGTTGACGCACTGTGCATACTGACACGGCTACAGCTGTCAGTTTCCTATGGGTGCGAAGGAGGTTAATTGCTATAGCCCTGAACTGTGCATGTGAAATAGTTAGACTGGGTCAAAATGAAAAATTGAGTTGAAAGAAATGGGTTGAGGGCTGCTCAACCCACTGTGCTTCTGTAACCATACCACAGTAATACATTATTTACATTACAGCTCTAATGTCTGTGTGCAGGGGGCTTAAGTAGGCCAGTCTGTTTGTGTGCATGAATGCTAACTGCCTTCTGTCTGTCAAGGTTAGCTCAGATAGAATTCACATTTAAGGTTGAACACTAAACAGTAAAGCCAGACAATACAGGATATTATTGTTCAACAAAGTCTCCATATTGCAAAAAAATATATATATATATTGCAATAATGCTAAGATTCACCATGCTTCTTCAGGAAAACAAGATTGAAAATGTTATAACTTTAAAAAAAAATCTTATTTCTTAATCTTGTTTTAATTATGGTTTAGTCTCTTGTGCAACAGTTTGACTATGAATTAAGTGATTTGCATTTTTGCTTTAATTTAACTGAAAATAATGTGTCTTAAAGGTGGATTATAGCTATAGCTACTACTAGAGGTTCTGCTACTTGCTTGTCTCCATGGAGATGTTATTTCCTTGCCTGAAATATTCCACAGTAGGGCATTAAGCATATTTCATTTGAATTCGTTCAATTACAAGTGTTTTATAGCTCTAAAATACCTTAAACACATGAATTCTTACCATGTCGAGGCTTGCTTCTCCATAGATCTGACCATTAACCTGTCTCCATTGTGGTTACTGAGTGTATTTCCCCACAGTGGAATAATTAGGGCAAAACAGTAATATCTCTCTGGAGACACACATGTGACAGACCCTTCACCAGAAAAGTTACACACTGAATTGAAATGCAACAAAAAATCATATTGGTTTCCCCATAGCAACCTTAGCTTTCAGAGGATGTTTTTAATGCAGCCCAGGAGCTTTGATCACAATAGTTGATAAAGGGCCTCATTGGTGTCTCTCTCCTGCAGTTCTCTCCATTTCAGCTCTCAGCCCAAACCGATTAGCACCAGTATCATGTTTAGTGGACCTTCAGACTTCACAAAGAAAGGATAACTTTTCTGAGCTTCCTGGGAAACCTATCCGTCAAGCGCATTATGATCGAGCGGAAGGGCAAGCTCATTTTCAGAGTGTCACCATTTGGTATGCAGATTTGGCCCCCAGGTTCTCATTCATTTTTTAACAAGTCGTTTCATTGGATTTCTATGGGGGCCAGTCGAAAGCTCTGCCAAACCCACTGTTCTCTTAGTGCCTGTATGTACCACATTATCAGAAGAGCAGGAAGTAGCATCAGCAAATGCTTCATCCAAGTGGAACATTTTAATTGCAATCTTTTTAATGGTAGGTGGTTTTGTTAAGAGCAGCTAATGCATACTGTTTAGTCATTACATATAAGTGGAAGAACAGCAGACTTCTCCGAGTGGGGAGCCTTTTCACATTTTTGACAGTTAACAAAAATTGTTAGAAATGAAGACTTAAGTTGAACAGGAACCCATATTATGCAATGGCATAATATCACAGTAAAAAATTCAGGATTAAGGATGGACATATCAGAAGTAGCATAAGAATAGCAAAAAGAGCTTATAATAGAAGTAATAATATACATGACATTTGCTGTATATCATTCATGTTTTGGCCAATATCCCTGCATCTGTCACATGCATACAGGGGGTTGCAGGCTACATTTAGCTGCTCTGACTTTAAAGAGCCCTTATTACTATATTTTCTGACCTATGTAACATACCTGAAGTTGTGTTTTGTTTCATTCACACGTTTAACACACAGACCCTGCATATTTAGGTTGAGTTCTTCTCTCAAACTGAAAACAGTTTGCTCCACCTTGTGATGTCATGAAGTAATACAATACAAGAAGTTCTCCACTGTGTTTTTAAACTCCATACACCATCACTAGAATCATCTGGCTATTTCCAACCCTGGAATTGTGAGTCCTTACTTAACTAAAGGTAAAAGGTAGATGTTAACTTGAAAACTACCACTGCACGACATCACAATGTGGAACAGAGCACTTTGAGCACTGGCGATGTAGACATAGTAATAATAAAGGATTACATTAACTAACATGTCCAAGTGCAACAAAACACTCCAGATATGTTTTTTTCAGGAAATAACGCTATTCTAAAATGGCTTAAAACTCGCAAGAGAAAATTTTGCATAATATATAATCCTTAATGTTAGCATTTCCAGGGATTTGTTCATATATTCTTATGATGTTTAGACTTTAAACATGCTATAAAAAAGGATATTAAACCCAGAGCTCAGGCTCATGTCCTTCATACAATGTGAACAGGTCATCTCTCCATACAGTGTGCACCTCCTATCATGATCTCAATCACACAGTGTGAGTTTGAGAATTAGAGAATGTCCTAAAATCATATAAAGTTCTATTACAAGGTAATTTTTTTCTTTTTTTGGTTGGGAGTGTTATGCCATCTGCTTGTCTCCATGGAGATGTTATTGCTATGCCTGGAATGTTGTACTTGGGAAAACAAAACTTGAATGTTTAACAGTATAAAATCACTTATCTATATTGAGTGTATTTAGTTATAGATGTTTTTAATGCAAAGCAAAATATAACATACTTTCTTGATTCTTGATGTGTGCAGGTTGACTCTCCTCAGATCTGACCTGTCTTTTGTTCTGGTGAAATTCCAGGGAAATTGTTAACACATCTATGGTGACAAGCAGATGGCAGACCAATTTTGGCAAATAAATAAATAATGTCACTAGCCACAGGAGAAAAACTGAATAAGAATAGTAGGCAATCGCATTTCACATAATCCCCCTTTGGATATGAAAGTCCTTCTTATATTGCGATGACTAATACACTGACTCAGCTCTGGTAACCTCACGTGTCTGAAGTCGCAGTTTGAATTATTTTAAAAGAATAAAGCCACAATGCACTTTGAGAATTAGTCAGTTGTGTAATTAATTATATAATTTATAATAGCAAAAGGACAAAAGACTTTAAAAACACTGACACACACTGCCTTTGTTCACTGGCTTTGTCTGATCAGCTGATGGACTCACAATGGACTCATAACAGACTATGAAGAATACATGACGCGGTTCAAATCAGAGACTTGGAGACATCATATTTCCAGTCACCAACAGCCCACGGCGTTCTTTATGACCTTATGTAATGAGCTATTTAAATGCATGAGGCACAAGTACACTATGAAGATGTGGATAGGAAAGGGAAAGCTTTGTTTGCAAATATCGCAAACAAATGCACTTATAAACAAACCAAAAATCAAACAACCAAAGATAATGTGACCAGCTGGTGCCTTGTGTGAGTATGAATGAAATCAAGGCAATTTCTTTCTTGTGGGACTAATCTAAAGATAAAATACATTTGATGATTTCATTTTATTTATTTATTTTTTATTTTTTTAAATGAAGTGCGTGTGTGTGTGTGTGTGTGTGTGTGTGTGTGTGTGTGTGTGTGTGTGTGTGTGTGTGTGTGTCTGTGTGTGTGTGTGTGTGTGTGTGTGTGTGTGTGCGTTTGCTTCATGAGATTCAAAGCTAAATCAAAATATTTGTATTTGTAAAATTTATATTTGAAATAAATAATAATTACTCTAAATATTTTTGAGATGTAAAATTATAGATCAAAAAAACAGAACTAAAGAGCAACTTAGATCTATTCAAAACAACATTTGTATTATCATATGCTAGTAGATAAAAGTGTATTTTTGATGTTTTTGCAGGTGGTTAGCTTCACCAGTCTGAAGTTCAGCCGTTCCTATAACTGGATGGTGCTGTGTGTGCTGTGGTGCTCTATCGCTCAATCCATCTTATTACCCATGTTCCTTTGGGCCTGTGACCGTTACCGTGCCGACCTGCGCATGGTATGGGACAAGTGTGTGGCCATTATGTCCAATGACGACGTGGATGAAGGTAAGTTAATGTCCCAGGAATCTGCCCCCAAGCATCCGCCTCTCTGCCCTCTCTGTTCCTCATGGTGTGATGGTGGTCCCATTTCCAAAGACAATGAAACAGTTCATACAATTTAGTAAATGAAAAAAATTACGATTGTTGAAATTTGATGGATAAGCTCTCAAAATGGCCTACAAGTGTTTGTGCACTATCTTAGACCAGAGGAATTACAGTGACATACATGATTTATTATCCAGGACAGTGCGGTTCAGTGGCCAGGGAGTCGATATAATGAGAAAATCGCTACAGACCAAGGAAAAAGGGGTCAGCACTCCACAATATTTCACTTTGAATTATCTTCACTTGTACAGGTGTTACTTACAGCCAAATTTCATTTACAGGTTTTTAGTCTTGGGCAGTAACAAGTTACAAAGTAAGGGATTACTGTAATCACATTACCTTTTTAGTAATGCAGTAATCTAATCTGTGTGAATTTACTTGTTGTAATTAAATTATATTTACTATCCCAACTACCCCAAGTATCCCTTTTCTTACTAGTCTTCAGCTCTTCTTGTTAGTTCAATGACTCAGTGATTATTATCGATTTGTCTACTAATCAAATGATTTCTATTGCAGATTTTAAAATCCAAATGATGATTGAAATATAGCAATTAATGGCTGCTAGTTAAATAATATGTACAAATAATCATCAAAAATATGATTATGATTATTTTAATTGTCCACTATTCACTGTTTCTCCAATAAGCCCTTGACACCAGGTTAAATAACAGGATATCACTGTAAATCCTATTGGTCTCTATATATATTAACAAAACTGGACTGGTCAGTTCTTCATAACCTGATTATTATCTAATGCATTTTGTTTGTTTTTTTTGTCTTTATGTTGTGGATTGAAGCTTTGGACATAGTGGTCAAAAGTTATCATGTGACCTATCATGTGACCATCTGCAGCCCAACTGAACAAGCTCTTGTGTGTTTGTTTGTGTCGTGTACTTTTAAACTGCTTTGGCTGCCTGTGCTGTAAGACTGATGTCTTCAAAATGAAAAGATAATGCTCAGAGCTGTTTTGGTTCTACTTCATTGCACTTAAAGTGGACAATCTCCGTCCTGAAAGACACAGGCAGTAGCACAAGTGCCTTTCCTTTTATTTGTTGGGAGGAGTTGCACTGAAGCTGAACAGCACTTCCATGTCATTGTGATGGTCATATTTCCCTCCAGTCAAAAAAAGGATGCTCACATTGTTTCGGGTCTCTTTTTGTTTGATCCCCCCCCCTTTTTAATAATACATATCGGAAACATTATATTTTACAATGTTATTATTAAGCATTATTAGGGAACATTTTATGAATTATAAAAGGTAGACATCGAAGCATCTACAGGGTTCTGCTTTCATCATAGTGATGAAAATTGTTTCTGTCAGATGAAAAAACAAAATCTTAAAACTTGAAAATACCAGATGGATAAAAAATAGATAAAAGAGATTGTAAACTGATGCAATTTACAAAATTCTGGTCATAATTAGGTCACATGATAATCATACAAAACCTTTTGGCTATTTGAATTTTAACATATAACACGTAAATTGAATGCTACTCCATATTAGGCCTGTTTGAGCCATGCCCCTTCTTCCTGTTCTACCCTCTAAACCTTTGATCCCCTCCCAATATCATGCTTTTTACTCCCTGTTGTCCATTAGAAACCTCAGCCCACACAAGCTCCTCATACTGTGATAATTAACGCTGCAAGTTTGTGCTTTTTTACAGAGGACATGCCTTGTATAACTCATCTCAGTTGTATGTATAAGAACAGTTTCCTCTTTTAAAGCTACTGACATGCATGCAGGCTGGGGCTGCTTTTACCAACTGCCATTCTTCATCATTCTGCCTCCAAATTTCCATGAATTACACCATCTTCAATTGATCTTTTATGAATATGACTGCAGTAATAATAGATTTAATGGTTTAATCTGTATTTCTCTGTTAAAGTCATGCCTCAAATACAAACAACGAAATAAAGTGAAGAGCCCAAACATCAAACTATACTGAAAATGACTAAATTTCCATAGTGAGAAGTCACAAAACCAATTGACATGTCTCTCTTATCTCTTCGTCTGTCTGTTTGTCTGTCCTGTGAGTCTCTCTAATTCTGACCCAGTGCTTTTCTGCACTTTGCAGAAAACAGCCAAGACGGAGGAATTCATGCCGACTTAATATATGACAGACCATATGACTATAGCGCGGCGCCCGAAATGGTGGCGGTAGACCGCAATGCCAAGTATGAGTTCTCAACCTTAGAAAGGGGGGTGCCCCAAGGGTATCCAGTGAGGGAACAACAGGAAGATAAAATGCAGTATTTGCAGGTATATTTTATTAATTTTCTTTGTCTTGTCAAAATATTTTTATTGACCTTGACTGCTAAAATGCATGGAAGAGATCAGAGGTTTATTATTGAGAATATTTTGTAATATTACATTTCCCCAAAAATGCCACGTATTTTTGTTCTATTTGAAGAATCTAAAACTTTCTGGCTGACGAATGTTTGGTAAATATGACCATCTGCAGTTTCATCACATGCTCAATGTGCTTCTGCAAAGGATCAAACATAAACTGTTTTATAGAGAGAAGTCAATCCATAATACCCCATATTGTAGGCTATACCAAATCTATGCTCATTTTCAAGAGCAATATTTCCATTACATGCAGTAGAGCCAGACCAGAGGCCCCCAACCTTCACTCTTCAAACCAACTAAAATAGATTATTCTCTTTTATAAGATAGATTTTACATAAACTAGAATTTCTTTAAATGTGGATCTCTGGCCTGGTGGGGGTTAATAAGACAGTCTACACAATATTGATACAACACTTACACCATGTATGGTATGGTTGGAAAAAATACCTTTTCAATAGCTTATTCAATAGCGTTCAGAGTCATTTGGGATTCATGTAGTTTAAATCATTAATCCAGCTGGATCATTGCCACCCTTTTTTCAAAAGCCTTGAAACAGAGATGCATACAGTAGCCATCACCTCATCTGGTCAAATCACCCATCCATTGTTTTTGTGTCTATGTAGAAACAACTATGTTAGCTGCAGTTTAGCTTTGTCCTGATGCACTGTGTATTATTATTGTGAAAACCTGTGATAAGAAAAGTAGCTAAACTGTGTGTTTCATGTCATCTGTATGGAAGGGTACATGCCCACCACACCCTTGTTGTCATTGCAAACAGCGCCTCCATTTGGTAAGTGCAGTCTGAGCACTTTTCAAGTGGTCTCTCTTAAAGCCTCTTCTGCTTTATTTGCTTGTCTTTTGTCTCCATCCTCTCCACTCTGTCCTGCATCTGAGTCCATTGTAATGCTTGTGCTGCCCTCTGCTGTCCAGTCGTCAGTCTAACACACTAAATGCTACTGTATGGTCTGCTGTTATTTCTCCTGCATTTACTGAAAGCTGCCAGAGGGGGGCAGGCTGATGTCAGTCTTGTGGCTCTTGACCTGACCTTTACAAACCCTCTCTCTCCTGCCTAGTTGTCAGAGCAGAATGGAAAGTGAGTATTGTAACTATAGAAACAACCCTGAGTTATTATAATACAATTAAATAGACCAATGAGATATCTGAGGGATGATTACAACAACTGCTAGTACTCCTAGACTGAATATAACTATATGCTGATCAACTATGTAGCTGCCACATTAGTTTCTCCAATCGCTTAAACAGCATTTAAGAATATGAATTAGTGGAAGCAAAAGTCAATGAGCATTTCCGATACCAAGTTGATGAGTTAGGAGGGACCAGTACCACAAAGCCATTCTAAAACCAGAACTGCATGCCTTACCGCAAAACTTACCCTTCATGAAACCCTTCATAAGAAACCATGGCCTTTCTAATATGGTTGCTACATTACAAAGCCATATGAGTCCACACCTCTCCTGGATTGTTTTTCCAATCAATATATTCTTGAACTTTAAACTAAAATGAGTTAACCTATCCTTTCATAAATCCTTCAGATAACCTCCTCAAAACCTAATGTAAAATATATTTATTTTCAGACATTTTGGTTCTGTTCTAATGAGTGTTCATGAGATAACCATGGACATGGTCATTTTTGTAATATCTACAGCAAACAATTAAGGAAAAAAAAAAGTTTTCATTTGATGTTCTGATTTCCCAAGTAGGGGATCCAACCTGAACAATAACATACTGTAGATATTACATGATGTGTGTCTGTTTTCCACATTCTGTGCTTTTGTATTGTAAATGAGTAGTGAGTCTATAATAAAATTTAAATGTCTGGGTCTGTGTGATCTGCAGGTGCCCCCTACAAGAAGATACTCCCACGACGAAACCGACATGTGGACCATCGACCGGATCCCCTCCTACCTGCAGCGCTGGGGCTCTACCGAGGACATGATAGTGAGTGCCCACTACAGCTCCACCTTACCGCGCCACGAGAGGCGCAGGAACAGCCTGGTGACCTACCACGAGGAGAGCCACCACCCTCATCGCAAACGCCGGCGCTCTGAGGACAACTCGCTGAGGCACCTCCCCAGGGTAGTCTATGGAGGAGAGTACTACGAGGACGAGCTGCACTGCTTTAGTCGTGATGAGGTGATTAACTTTATTGATGAGACGCCCATACCAAGCCCAAGGAAGAGCCCCCGGCGTGCATCTGCCATTCTTTATATACCAAATGTTTATGATCAGCACCACACCGTCCTCCCACACTTCCCCCTCACAGACTTTGAGCGTGAGCCACAAGCTCTAAGGAGGGACCACAAACGAAACAGTAGTCGAAGTAGCACCCCTGAAGGTTCCCCTAAACCTGCTGTAAAGAAGACCGTTGGTGTCTCAGGTAAAGGGGATGTAAAAGGGGAGCAGGAGGTGAAGGGGGAGAGGTCTTCACCAGGGCGGGGGCACCACTCTCCAGGGAGCTCCCCCAGCAGCAGGCCCAGGACCAGCCTCAGCGTGCGGACTGGAACTGCTGTGGACTCAGGGGGTCAGAAGAACTTAAAGAAAGCGGAGAGCAAAGGAAGCACAAACAGTTTTGTAAGCACACCGTCAGCCTCCTCTTCGGGGTACATCACCTTTCAATCAGACTCTGCTTCTTAGAGCGTCTTGCATTCTGTCCCACCATTGGCACATTGGTGGTTAAGAAAACTGAGAAGAATAAACTTTTTAATGGTGCCACTTTGACCTATTTGAATCCTGCCAATGAAAACATGCAATGCTTTACGACTATGAAGTCTTTGGTTATCAGAATGAATGGGCCTAATATTGTTTTTGTACACAGGCCATATATAAGGTCAAAGATGAACAGCTGTTCCTTCTCTGTTCACAGTAATTCCTCTGATGGCACAGCTATCCAGCACTGACACAACTCTCTGTTTTAAATAGTGTGAACATCCCCACTCCTTGTTTTGCTGTTTTGATGTTGTTTCCTCTGAAATGCTTAAATGCAAAGTGATTACAGGGAGCTGGTTGTTTGAGTGTAGTTTTTTCACTTCCCTTTTTCATAATTTGCCTTTTTTATTGAATGCACATTTGGTTAAATATAGAAATCTGAAGACTGCCCAAGGAATTGGAAATATATCATTTGACAATGAATTGTTTTAATTGTAATTTATTGTAGTTTAAGAGTATCTTTTGGTCACTTTCTTGAATGCTTCTAGTTTGACAATTTAGTATTGAAAATGAAAGACGAAGTTGTGAAGAGCCTTAATAAATGACTCAAATGTGAAAACGTGTGAATAATAGTATATACAGTATGACGGCTATTGGTTTCATGATTTTGATGTTCATTTGTTCAGTTGGGCCTTGTTCGGTTATAACAATACTTGTGTTACCTTTGCTCACAAAGATGTTTAATTTTTACACAACATTAAACAATATAAAAGGGAATTTGGCCTGATTTCTTATTTAAATGAAAACAATTCTTTCCTGCTCTAAATTTAACATAATTTTGAGAGACTTTTGTTAAATGGCCTTCCCAAAACCACAATCTAAGTTCAGTTAATATAAAAAATACACAAATGTCTGGATGAACCACGTACAAGATCTGTTTATTGATGATATGCTTGACTGCTCCTCCACACCACACAGTCCATTTAAAACACTCAAAAGTTGACTCTTGCTCACTTACAGTATGACAAGAATGAATTCTGAAGCATAAAAAGTGGGAGTTTGCAAAAGCACAGTATATAAATATGAGTGAATTCACATGCAGAAATCCAATGTAGAAGAATTTTTTGCAACTCTGCTTAAAGGCTGGTGCAGATAGGAGCAGGGCACAGGGGGAAGGCAGAGCGGACTTTAAAAGTACAGTACTTGGTTTCCATAACAACCACCAGGAGCATGCAAACTCAGAGTAAAATCTATTGGATTGTTGCAGCATGTGTATAATACTGAGATACTGAACCTGCAGCCATTTTGTCCAGTAGGTGGCATTCACGTCCCAGACTTTGGCATGTCATGGTTTCAGATGGAGGGCAAGAGCCTATATAACTCTATAAGTGATTCACTGTGGAACAGTTTTAGAGATTTGCTATACAAATTTGCCATATTAATCTCATGGTTTAAATTCCTTTCAGCTGACAACAAGCACGCCTGGTGTTGAATAATGGCACGACATTCTGAAGCTATTGTGGAAAAAAAAAATCCCTTGTGTTTATTTATATTGACAGAGAAAACACTGTGAACCTTGTGCCCATTTTTGTTTGGGTTTGTGCCTGTCAGATGAATGCAGTCTAATCCCTACAGTTTAAAACTGAGCTGGAGGACAGGTCGGAATTCTATGGTGGAATTTGCTGTTACTGTCACACTCTAGATTTGTTGACATTGTTCTGTAATTACTGGGCCTATCCGCATAAACGAGGTTAAACCCCTTCTCTTTTAACATTTAAGTGAAATTACAGTTTCAAAATAGCTTCAAAAATCTGTGCATTATTTAAGACCAAAGAGAATGTTTTCAGCTGAAAAAACAGTTTGCGGAGTCAATCCCTAACAAATAAGATAAGATTCAACATCAATGCGGATCAAGGGTTTCAATATTTCTTTCAAAAATAACAAATCTTCTATAGAGCTGTATAGGTGTCTGCTTCTCCATCTGACCAAAATCTAGAGTGTGAACACAAATTATTTGGCTGTGCATTAAAACTATTGAAAAGGTTTATTACGGATTATTAACAGAAGTAGATCTGACAGTAGGGGTGTCAGGTGGCCAGCCACAAAAGTACATCATATCTGCTTATCTTAAGTTAAAACGGCTTTACTATTTCTTCACGCACTATACTATACAATTACTGTACAAAACCTTCTGAACTGACACGCGTTACCAGCAGCACAATCTGAGCTTCCTGTGTACCTGACATCCCTGGATCATTTTTGTAGTTTTAGTTAGAATCAGTCACTTTATTCACTGAGCCATTCACTAGACTTTGGATTGGATGGGCTATTATTCACCATATATTCACTATTTATTCAACATATATTGCAGAAAAAGAATGACGTAACTTAAGTTTCCCTTAACCTCAATCCTACATAGAAAGAGTGTTCATGGATTTCAGGCAATTAATTCCTTCCCGATTTTAAGGATTTTTTTTTCTTATTAAAAAGGTATATTTTAAATGTGATCATTGCTATGAGGACGGCTACCATAGCTTGAAACCAATGAACAGTGTTCAGGGATGTTAACTACACATTAGGCATTAGATTGTGCATTCCCAGCAGATGTGAAGAGGACAGAGAGGTGTCACAGGGTTTTTACACTAGCATTCAATACTTACAACAATAATAATATAATAGTAATAACAATGGGAAGGAACCCCATCCCACTCTCACACATTCAGAACATTCACACGGACAAGTTAATGCTTCACAACACAATTATAGCATAATGTTGAACTTCATCTTAGAAAAACACATAAGAAATTTCATCAGCTATATTACAAATAAAACTTACAAATTCAAAGTTCTCCTCTGACAAAACACTGACAAATAAAATATCCTAACCACACACAGTGGTGATGGTGGCTATAGGTTCCTGACGAAGATAAATTTAGCGTGTGGTTGTTAACATAAGACTGCAGTGGTTTAGGAAGGATGGAGTGGTCCGATCAGGAGAAATACAACAAAAAAGTGCCAAGGTAAAGTGATTTCAAGTAATCTGTGCTTTAGACACAGAAGAAGGGGGAAGGGAGAGGGCAGTCCAAAATGGCCGCTACTGGCTCTTCCTGTGTTCAGTCAGGTCTATGGGAGGTGTATCTTGAGGATAGAGTATCTCTCCTCGTGCTGCTCGGGACAGAAGCTCTGCCCACCTGCCCTGTTGGTCTGCCTCCGGGACACTGAGGACCATAGTCTGTTGTGAGTTACTCAGGCGAAGGCCATGTTTCACTTCAGATTTTTCACCCGACGACACAGACACCAGGCTGACCTCAAACCCAGGAAGAGGAACCGCCCGAGCGCCTTTAGACTCCTGTAGAGGAAAAACTTTTTTTTAAATACTACATAAGCCTATATATTATGTAGACACACGTACAATGGACTGAAATGTGGGAGCTTTGCATTTTAAGTAGTTTCTCATATTAAATGTTTTAAACTTTCAACCAATACTGGATGTCAGTGTATTGCCATTTCAGCAGTACTAACAGAGCAAATGTGGTGCACATGTGTGTAGTCCTGGACAGATGTAAAAATGAAGAATAACAGAAACACATGTGGCTACACAATAGAAGGAAAGAGAACAGTTCCATACCTGTCCATTGCTCTGTAGGAAAAGCACAAGAGGCTCAGATTTGGTGACAGCGACCCACACTTTTGACCAGTTTTTTCCTTTGTCCTGCAGCTGCATTTGGCCACACAGTATGCAGTTCTCCGCTGTCAGGGATATCTGCCTCTGTGGTCACACAAGTAAGAAATTATTAAGATAATAATCAGTATCATCATTATCATATAATCATCAATACTCATTAAGAAGTTATTATATTATCTGAATACTCAAATTTTACCCTTTGTGTCCAACAAATATGTAAGAGGTGTATGGACTAACAATTAACAAGTTTTCTTTTTTTCCACTCCATGGAATTTTCTTTAAATGTAACACTTGCGTGCATGTCAATCAAATAAATAGACATATACATTAGTATAAATACACTAAAATGTACAAATCACAACAAAATCACTTGATTTCCAACTGTGAGCTTTGAGTTTCCTTCATTAAAAGCCTGATTGTGGCAAACCCTTTACACAATGTTAAAGTAAGTCAGCATGATTATACTGTTCACAAATGCGTGTGACTTACCTCAGGCACTTTGCGTTTCTGTTCCAAGGTGGCGCCCAGACTCTCCAGACTGAGGCTGGCTTCGTAACACTCGGGACACACGCGGCTCGTCTTGTTGTCCAGACTTTTGGAGCACTTGGCACAGATGGCCTGTAGAAGACACAGTTTACACTTTCTGAACATTTTCTCACTTTTGAATCTAACTACTCCTGACGGCTGCACTCACCGCTCCACATGACTTGCAGTGGTGTTTGCGTTTGGTGAAGTTGAAGCTTTCACTGCAACCTTTACACGTCTGCTTCTCCTTTTCCTTTTTCTTTGAACTTTTCTAAAGAGAGAATGAAAAACCTTTGATTTCAACCATACAGTTTTAGATGTTAGATTTAATTTCTTATTTCTTTATTTGTTTGAGCCAGGCACAACAAAATTCAAAAACAATAACAAAAATAGTTATATGTACATGAACATATTTGGGACCTGGTGTTCAAAAAGAGTAGGATGAAGTTTAAAAAACTTATACTAAATTGTTTGAGGTTGTAGCTATTAAGCAATTATTATTTGGCATCATTTTTTTTTTTTCTTCAACTCACTCTTTCGTGCATGCCTCCTTCTAAGTCCACTGAAGTGTTCCATGGGCCCTGTTGAAGACAGCAAATGTTAGTCTTGCACTTCCTACTACATACCACAAGGTGTCAGTAAAACACAAATAAATGCACAAGTCTTGTTTCTTTGGCCAAACTCCAGTAGTGACAGGCCTAAAGTGGGTCAGATGAGCTCTATAGAGTTTTGTATACACTTAAAGTTTTCCCTATTAGGTCATAAAGAGTCGTGGAGAAGAGACTCCAGACAGTACATGTGCAGCTGTGTAGAGAATGACTTGTCTTTACACTTCCAAAGATGGGAAAATGTTAAGGGCAAACAAAGGCTATTCTATGGAGAGGATCAGATGATAAATTATACACAGGATGGGGCACTAATTGACTCATTGAACAGATAAGAAATTAACTTGAATGAGGAAGTGACTGACCGGTGAGTCAAGCATGTGGTCATCCTCTCTGGAGAAGGAGCTGTTGAAGGCTTTGTTGAATGTCTCACTGTTTTGTTTGTGCTGTTCAATGGTGGCCCGGATCACCTAAACAACACGAGAGCAGAGAAAGGGTTTCATTATAGCACAGGAAGTAGCAGTCTCACTGACAGTGTGTGTGCATGACTTATACAAGAAGTTTCAAAACTGTCAATGTCTGGACTAAATGAACTGACAGTAACTTTAACTGTAACCATATATATTCACAGTAATATGTTAATTGTCATACACTGTTAATAAGCACAATAAATATACTTAAAACTGCCAAGTGCTGAAGACTTTAAAAATTGTAATGTATTTAATATTTAAACTAACTGAGCCATCTTCTTTACTGCTACCTATAATTACAGTACAACTATTATGTACAATGTGTAAGATACTTGCCTGAATCCAGTCTTCCTTCTCTTCAGCCGTCCTATAAAGCAAAGAAGAAATCATTATTATAATCTGTAGACCTACGACCATAAACGACTGCTTGGGAATGTCACTCTGGGTTAATTAATAATGATTACAGGGATCAAAGTAGGATAATCTAAGCATGTGCGATTTAATCTAAATGTCATATAAAATGTCTGTGTAACCCCTCAGTCGCCAGGTACGTTTATGTGGGCTATACTCTCTACAAAACAATTAAGAATCACTTTTAACTCCATGTACAAATAGGAAAAATAATAATTATTAGGATTCAGTTTGTTTTTCTGCACAACAACTATTATGACAATTGTAAAGTCAATATTCTGTTTTGGAACTTCTAACTTCTGCCACATGTAGCAGTGTTGATCCAGATGTGCAGCTGTATACCTGGCCTGCAGCTCCAGTGAACGCTTTTTGCCGATAATGGCGAAAGTGTGTGGAAGATTCTGCTTCACATTTTCCTGCACCTGATAAACAAAGAGAAAGAACAAGAAGAAGAGAGTTTTAAATTGCTACTGGCCAATAAAAATAGTATAGTGGATAAAAACTGACAAAAATTATGTTAGGATGAAAAATTATCACATCATGAACACTATGTACCACATAGCTGGTAAATTTTCCTAAAAAAAAGTCTTTGAGGAAAATTAATGGAAATTGAGTGGACATTGGACATGATGTGGGCAGGACTGTTGAGCATATATAAATAATACATAAAACACTTCGTTTAAACAGATTCAACAAAAGTATGTGTATGATATACCAAATATATAAATAAAAACATGTATTAACAAAAAATAAACTAGAGAAAATTTAAATCAAACCTTACCTCCATTCCTGCAATGTCAATCCTCTCCCTAACACTGAACTTCTGCCCCATCAGCCGTAGTTTAGGCACACAGTATAGCACCATGTTGTTGAACTGAAAGAAATCCACTCAGTCAATAATACTACAGTAACATAGCTATAATATTGTACTGCAGACATCTGATATTGAACTCACCAAGTAGAGGTATCGATCTTGTGCTGTTCCATTTTTAGCTGACATCTTCTTGATATGTCCCTCTTTGATGAACTCATTGGCCGGATTTACAATGTCCTCCTCACCTCCAAGACGCTCATATACTTCCAGCAGTTTGTGCATCTTCTCCTGAAAAATCACAGACAACAAAAGGGTATATTAAAGGTGCATTATGTAACTTTTTGGTTGACGGTCCGTCACCTGCTTGTTTCTATGGATATGTCATTGTCCTGCCTGGAATGTTCCACAGTATGACAATAAACAGTTCTACTTTAGATTTATAAAATTAGAGATGATTTTATAGCTCAAAAATACCAAAAATAGGCATTCTGACTGTGAAAGGGGTTACCTCTCCACAGGTCTGACCCATAACTTGGTCTGGTTTGGTCTCCATGATGCTAAAAAAGGCTTATTACAATGCTTTGAAACATTCCAGAAAAAGCAATATCTCCACAAAAAAAAGCATTTGACGGACCTTCCACCAGAAAAGTTACTCAATTAAATAGAAGAAAACATAAAACTACTTAATTAATACCCTAAAACTAAGACCTAACCTCTTAATTAGTAGTTAGTTAAGCTGTTACTAAGCCTGAATAAACTAAACCTATTTGTTAATTCAGTCTTTTTTATGCTTTTTTGAGGCTAGTTAAAGTGTAACCCAATATATTTATTTGACATATTTACTGAACTTATCTGCTGCTAGGTTAATTTAGGGAATATTATATGTTATGGGGTTCTTCAGTAATGGTAAGATCAATAAAGAATATAACTGCCCACTGTAATGGTTTTGTACATCCATTGCGTTTAAATGAATGAGATAAATTGTGAAACATGAAACAGGAAATGGTAGCTTCCTGTCTGAAGTTCACCTCCTTCACATGTCAAGTATTGTTGACTGTCAACAACATCTTAAACAAGCTTCACGTTACTGTTAATGTTCTAAAAATATTATAACTGCTGCTCTATTCCAATGAAGTGTTGTGTTTTAATGAGAGAGCCCTTTTTGTCTGATTTGGAACCCAGTGTAATATGACTCGTTTTTTTTGTGTTTGGTTTTTTTTTTAACTCATTTGACTCTGTTAAATGTGTTTTGGCCACTATTGCCCCAAGTATTGCTCAGTTTAAATACATTTATATGAAATTCTTAGAAAGAGAAACAAAAATATATGATAATATGTGCTGGCAGTTTTTAGATTTGAAGTTTACTCTTCTTTGCTTTGTTTTATCACGTTTATTAATAGTATTTACTCAGTCATTAAAGTTAATACATAAAAATAAATTAATTTAGTCTATTACATGCTATACTTCACTCAGTGTTTGTGCGAAAGTATCCAATTTCTAATAATGCTAACAAATAAAAGTTAATACTTTCTTTTTGTTTTTTCAGAATCATCCTGTCTCCTGCCCAATCTAGAATGACATCACCATGATATTCTCCATTCTGAGAACAGCCCCATGCTGTGTAAATGAGGAATGGTGGGATGGGACTCACCATTTTCTTGATTGCTGCATTGGAGTGATTGGCTGCAGTGGAAATGAGCTCCAGTGCCTCTGAAACACACACACACACACACACACAAGTCCATCAAACTCTGCCTCTGGTGCAGCTCATCATCAGTGGTGATCTCACACAGTAGCACAGACTCAAGGTACAGTCATTTGTCCCAATCATGTCCTATTCAGAGCAGCAAAGGAACACAGCAGGAGAGTGAGGCCAAAACGTGATTAAGTGTTCATTCAATTTGAGACCTAAAACACAAAATGCTTACTACAATGTTCGGATTAAAATTGGATACTATGAGAGCACAGTTAGGCATGTTTACAATAACCCAATGTCAAACCTATAACTTGTAGCATTATGTAGCATTATATCTTATTTAAATCTTTACTCCTTATACTAGAGCTAACTACTAGTTGTACTTACTGCCGCTATAGGAACATTGTGTTATTCATCACCCATTGTAAAAAATTAAAAATAAATATAAATATAAATATAAATACATTTGTCATATACAAACTCTTACTCTCAGCATCTTTGCGGTCCAGGGCGTCTTCAGGCAGTTTCTTCAGATAGTCTTTGAGCAGCATCTCGTATCGAGGAATTCTCTGCACCGGCTCCAGCATGTGATGCTGCAACGTCAGGTTTCCACACACCTCCTGTTTCTGTAGTAACCAACACATAACCCAAGTTACTAGTTAGTTAATAGAGTAAAGTGTTACCAAAGCTGAACTATTAAAATAACTCAAAACAAAATACACATTCTGAATGATTTTTTATTCTGCATTTTAATTCTATTTTGCAGTGTAGATCATAAATGCATATTATACCTGTATATTTTGTACAACGCTCTTGAACTGAGACGACCGCTGTGTCCAGGTGTTGACCAGGTCCATGGCCCGGTCAAAGTTCTTCACATATTCACCGTACATCTTCATAAAAGGAGCCAGCTTCTGGAGAATGTCTCCAATGCGTGGATTTGAGTCCCTATAAGCAGTAGACAGCAAATGTGGAGTTACATACACCGATAGGACATAACTTTATGACTACCATAATGAAAAATGATATTTTTATCCATTTGACTTACACCCAATGTAAATGTTAGTTCTCAATTAATCACTACTGTTCTTTATTTTAGAATATATTCAGTTGCTTATCTAAAACATCAATTTAAACAACAAATTGCTCACATGCTGCTTAATATATGATGAAGAGTCAGTCAGCTATCCATTTCACCTGGCAGATCCAATTATGCTGTTATGGCTGTTGGATTTTACAGAGCAGATGCAAAAGCTGTGTTGCACTGAAGAACTTTAAATCACATTATTTTATTGAAAAGCAGAAACACAGTTAAACCATACGTGAAGTGATTTTCCAAAACACATAGAGAAGTAATTATCTACATTACTAACTGATGATGTTGGCACAAAGCTACAAGAGCAATGCATTTCCTGCTTGAAAAAAAAAAAAAAAATACACCAACATGCTCTCATTTTTAAAGTCCAACCCCAATCTGAGCCTATTCCTGACCTGACAGTGATTTCTGCCCCTCGTGTGTCACAGCTGTCCAGGTATAATAGCCCCAGTGCCCTACCATTCTCCGGTGATGCGTGTCTTGAGCTCTGGGAGGAGGAACTGGTCATGAAAGCAATAGATGGAGGAGATGTTGGAGAAGATGCCTGTAATGACGTCCTGAGGGATTCCAGCTTCCGTGAGCTTAGTGCAAAATACCTGCAGGGAGTAACAGTAGGCAGAATGAGACCGGAGATTCCAAAGTCAGCACATATGAATGCAAAAGGTGGGATCCCTGCACCCAGGAACATGTTTAAGACAGAATATAAGCTTGCTGTAAATATCTGACACACTTTTTGTTTGTTTCTTATTTAACAAGAAATATGCTAGTTTTATCTACAGAAATTTAAAGATGCACCATGTAACTTTTCTGGTGGTGGTGGAGGTGGGGGGGTGGGGGGTGGTCTGAAACTTGATTGTCTTCATTTTCATGTTGGTTGTATTAATGTAAACAATTAGTCTTCTTACAGTGAATGTACTTGCCTCTCCACAGAATTGAGCTGTAAGTTGGCTTGGTAGCATCTCTTACTCCATAAAGAAAATGCCCTACTGAGGGATATTCCATGGAGACAAGCAGGTGGCAGGCCCACCATCAGTAAAGATACACGAAGCACTTTTAATGTTTTCATTTTCTAGCACATTTACTATGCTGTAAGAAACATACAAAGCAAATAGAATGAATCTGAATAATATTACGAGAAAATATTTAAAAACAGATCTTTTGAAAGCACCACTTCCACATTTTGAGTGTTACCATAAATATCAAGCTTATCCATAATCACAGTTATCTACTCAAAACTCCATCATAAACTAATAGTCAAACAAATAATATATAGCAAATAAATGGGTACACTGATGTTTCCACAGAAATAAGTGCATCTGAAAGCTTTTTGACAATAACAGGAAGTTTGGCACCAGTCTGCCATCACACAGATAAACTAACATGTGTGAGCTTAGGCAGTACTGCACCAGTGTACTACATACAATGAACAAAGAGGAAGAGCACAACCACATGGAGTAGAGCTGTTCAATACAGTGAACCAACTACAGAACATGTTTCTCTTATTGGGAACATGTGACCTTTACCCACATCAAGAGTCACACCAATTTTTATCATTAGTTATCTAAAATCTGCACTACTTGAGTGTTATTTTTCATTAATTCAGACATAATATTTTCAACAGTTTTTTTTTTTGGTATATACATACAATATATTTGGTAAGGTCTAGTGCATGTTTTTCAAATTAAAACTGTCATGTAAATTATTTCAACATAACTAAACAAATATTGTCATAGTAGCATGATGTATGGTTCTTAATCATCCAGAATAGAAGAAATTATTTTCAGTTGTTCTAAAATTATACAAATACACTGTTAATTTGCTAATACATGTCTTCTTAATGGCCAATAATAGTCTCATGGCATAGCATAAAATCCAAGCCACCATAGACCTTGTCCTTGTACTGGCTCTATTATTAAACTCCAGACTACAGCACTCAGTAAGCATATTTTTTTAACATATCTTTTGAGACGCACAATGCCCAGTGGTGACAACGCTGTTTTTATATGTCTAAAATTAGCACACGCAAAGTCTGGCTGTTCCTCATGTGATGTTGTTTAAACTCTCAACATAATCCTGTCATCTGAGGAGGGCATGTCGTCTAGTGGCACCTCTAATCCAGCTCAGCCCTGATCTCAATCACTAAAACCACTGGCACACTCACCAGACTGAAATTCAGACCGGATGTATTTAAATGGAGTAGTGCCACAGTCATTACAGGGCGTGTGTACAGGGCTGATAGGAGACAGCGGTGACAGTGTTACCTGGTCCAGGAGGTTAAGTCTCTTGACGTAGGCCTCTTCAGTGTGGAGCAGCTCTTTGGCGATGTTCAGCAGCTTTTGAGCCTCGGAACACTGGAAAGAGTAGTAAAAGATTTGTGTAAAGTAAGTAATTTGCGTAGAGGTGATTCTGCTCATTCTAAGATAAGAATACAAATTTTCTACTAAGGATGGACTAGATCTCGTGCTACAGGATGTCGCGAGATAATATTCCCACAAGATTGTGCACACATGAGGAAAATGATCTTGTGAGATTTTTTGTCCATGTGTTTACATTTGGCACAGACAAAAAAATAGCTAAATGAAAAGTTACAATAATCAACAAAAAATAATATAATTTTTTTTTAAAAGTTACACCTGTTTGAAAGTTTGGACTGCACAACTTTTTATCGTGAACTACATATGTCAAAATCTTGTCTAGTTGTCATCATGAACCCAATTTCATGTCTTGTCCCACCCTTTTTTTTCTACCTCTGCATTTACAATGAAAGATGTTTGCAGCACCTATTCACATTTCAGCACAGGCATTGTTTGTCTGGTGTACCTCTTACAAAATCTTCATATTATGTAAGTGGAAGAAGCTCATTACAAGCTTTGGTAAATTATCACAGTCAGAATAGTTCACATCCGTTGTCTGCTGTCTCACTCATTTTCATCTGCAGGTTTTCACATAGAATTATTAACAGAATACTAAGTCTCGCAGGGTGCAGAGAAAAGCCACATCCTCTGTCATCAGCAGTGTTCAAGCAGTCAGCTGCAGTGTCACAGATATTCACACAAACAAATGCCTTAGGACCACAGTACTGTAGGAGAGTACTGCAGTAGTAGAGGGGAGTACTACCACACAATTCAATCTCCTTTACTGTGGTTTTGAAGTATGTGGGCAGACTCAAAGTTGTGGGTGGCATAAACACAATATTTTTGGTTTACTTTACTGCATCAGTACTAACCTGTCTGTGAACTATTAGGCCTACTTATTATTAATTTGCTAATTTAAAGTATATTAAAGTAATATTTAAGTAATGTGCATTGAAGGTAAAAGAAAAGAAGGTAAAATGTCTAATGTGATAAACAGAAAAATATCAACTTTAAAATACTTTCAATGGTGCACATTTCATACTAGTTTTAATTATCTCTGTACATATTCCTCTGTGTCTGGCCCATTCCAAGCACTTTGTTGAAACTACGATTACTTGATAGTTGAAGACTCAACAGACCACCAACCCTATTAGAGCCAGAGTGTTGCTTACAATCAATATATGAGCTGAAACTGTATCTATGGAAAGGGCTATGCCTCTGACACACACTTAAGTCACTGCTTTTAGACACATGCGTTTTATGCAACATCTTAAATACACCTAAGTCAATTGTGTGCGGCTGAGATGGTATATACAGTTACATGAGGCCTGCTTTGAAACCACTCGCTCAACCTGAGATAATAATAGACGCAGGGCTGTTTTTCCATGACATGAAAGGCTGAGTGGCTCTGATCAAGCTTTTAAACTTGTGATAGAAATTCCTGGAAATTATGATGTAAGCTGCAATTAAGAGACGAACTAGGGGTAAAACCTCATTTTTCAAGCAGTGGTCAGTTATAAAGGCTTGGCCAGTTTTGTGCATTAAAATACCTTTCATGCAGAATTTAGATTCAGATCTCTCTTCAAATGCAAAGTATCACACACTATGCTTTGAAAACACCACTTCTTTGTTTATACTCGTAAGACATTATTGAACTCCATTATTGAATTAAATATATCCAAAATGTAAATACATTTTTGCCACACATAATGTCCATAAAAATGAACAACCTCAGTCAAGATTTGTTTCACTGTTTAAAATATGGCTGTATTATTGAGAATGTATATATGAATCTATATAATGTATATATGTGTGCTAAAATAAACAATGCCAAACAATAATTGCAGAAGAAAAAAATATATATTTTGAATTGTAGAGGAGAATTTCCACAGTGAGATTTATTTCACTACTTCCATCTTGCCATGAGTCTTTTCTTAAGGCAAACTAATCAGGTTTGGTACTTCATGATGCTTAAAGACTCCATGTTCACATATACTTACTTTTTGTGTTTCCGAAAGATATCCACTTGTCTCTGTCAAAGACTGAATCTCCCCACTGCTGCCTTCGTCCAAATCGCTGTCCTCGTCTTGCGTAGAGTCACGTTTGCTCCCAGCCACACAACACGACACGCTCTCTGTCTCTGTCACGCTATCGTAATGCTCCTCATCTATAGCATCCTCATTCGGGAACACCTCTCCCTCTACTGTGCAAGATGGACTGTCTATTCCACTGTCCCGGTTCGGAATCTTGCCGTTCTGGTCCGTAGCATCAGGATTGTCCACTTCCTGGTCTACGTCATCAAGGCAACGGACGCTGACGTCAGAACAGTTGTCCAGCTGGGTGTCACTAATGTGGACCGAGGAGAGGCGGGACAGTTCGGGCATCTCGTCTCCGTTCTGGTCACTAAGGGGATTCAGTGGGTCCACCGAGGGGGAGGAGTCTGTGGATAGCTTGGCAATGGAGTCTGGCCCACAGGAAGTGATGTCAGAGGCAGTGTCCATCCTCAAACTCAGATGCAGTTGAGAGCGTGGCAGCACCCCCAGGATGGGAACCCTGTAGAATAAAAAGCAGAACCATAACAATTATTACAGGGTAAAAATTATGTTAAATCAGTAGCAAAGTGAAAATGAGACATGCTTTTACATGAGGGATAGGATATAAAGTGTTACAGTACAATTACAGTACATGGAAATCAAACAATGTGTTCCTACTAATGCAACTATACTTATTACTAATACTTATACAATACATACTTTTTAAAATAACTAAATCTTGAAACTAAATTTGACAAGAAAAAACGTTAATTTTAAAATAAAATAAAGAAGATTAGTGTATTTTGATGCAAGATGCTAATTTCAGTAAAAAGGTAGCAATTACAACAGCCATTGTATCAGTATCAGTACCATATTGATACAGGTAGTATCAGTAGTAATATTATATGTGGCTGAAGTACTATTATATGTGGTTGAAGAAAAAATTTAAATTTCAGTGGCAATTGCAAGTGGAGGATTTGCAGTACTGTCATGTCTACCACAAACACATACTGCATACTGTATGCTTTCTTACCTGGAGTTTTCAAACTTCTCTATGAGCAACCCCACTTTCTGGACCTCTCTTGGGGGCTCTGCGATGGGAGGCGGTGGGGTGAGGGTGGGCTTGGGTTTGGGAGGAGGAGGTGGAGCAGGCAGAGGTCTGGATGGAGCTGGAGGGATCCTCTTAGGTTTCTTGTCTTGCCCAAGAGCAAGAAGGTGCGCCGGCTTAGGGGGCACTAAGCAATATAAAAAAACAGGATTAGGATCACAATAGCACTATGCAGTTTAAGTAGTCCATAGATGTCCCAGTTGTATCTCCATGGTAAACAAAATCTCAAAAATGTAATCCACAAAATCATGAGACAGTTAGTCCAAGAGAGAAGCATTTAGTGGCTGTGCAGATCGAGACTTTGAGCTGCTACTGCCGGTTCACTTCCTTATTTCAGAACAGGATGCTGCTGATGCAAATGCGCACAGCCGTCAATGCAGTTACACAGCAAAATGAAAAAATAGACCAAGGCAAAAAAGGGAACTTCTATTATTGTCAGACTTACCCAAATTCTGCAAACTGCATGCTTAAAAAAGTTCTTTAACAGCAGAAAAGTTTGTATCAAATGGATTTTGATAAAGGCAGGAACTGTGAGCATTTGTCAGAGCCATTAATATTAGCACTTCCTCTGAATTGAAACATCTGACTGAGAAAGAGAGCTCTGAAGGGTGCATATTTCTCTATAGTTGTTTATTATGTGGGTCAGATTGAAATATAATGGCCCAGGCCCAGTATTCTATATCAGCCCTCATGAGAAACTGTTCTCTTGTTGCAATTGAGTCTTGACCCAAATGCCCAAAGGAATTAACTTTTTATGTGAATGAGTTGGCATTTGTCATCAAGAAAAGAAAATTATGAACCAGGTTGAATTAAAAGTATAATAACTGGCAAGTATTTATGTTTAACCAAAGCCCACAAAAGGCTACAGGACCATGCACTATGATCCTGTTGTCTTAATATAATTTGGAAATTTGGAGCAAAATTAGGCCTATTACAATGGTTTGTCATTCAAGACATAGTCCGATAAAGTATTCTAATTTCCAGTTTAATTTCATGGACACATATCCAGATTTAAATAACTCTTCTAGTTCCAGTTGAATTTCATGATGATTGTGTACAGATGATGCTGGCCGCTGTACATGAATGTTACCTTGAGGTTTCTGAGAGATGGGTGGTTTGATTGGAGAGGAGGGCTGAGGGCGGGGCTTCAGGGCTGGCTTCCCGTGACATGGTCTGAGGGTCGGACTCTTTTTAGGCGTCCGCGGGGAGCACAGGTACTCTGGTTGTCCGTTTTGGTACTGCAGGGAGGACGGGGGGAGGTCTGGAGAGAGAAGCAAAAATATTATATTTAGCTACTGCACACAAAATGATCTATAATTTAATGTATTTCCAAAGTTTTACATGATTTAACAAGGAGATTTTTTTTTCTTTTTGCATTTCATTGCATATGTTGTTAAATGGTTGCATCAAGGAGAGCATTTGGTGAGCAATTCTGGAAGTAAACCAGAATCACTGGTCACAGGACTGCACAATTTGTGTATATGAAAGAAATCAAGTTAACAATGTTATTTGTCATTGTCAGCAATAAAAGTCAAGACTAATATTGATATTGTGCATTAAAAATGGTATTGCATAATATCAAGCCTTTAGTGTTGAAACAGAGCACTAATCTACTTAATACAGCGATTGCCTTTTTGAATAAACCTTTTCCTCACAGTATTATGTTGAAAAACACCATCTTACAGCTGTATAAATTCCTCAGAATAAGCTCCTTCAGGTATGACCTTGGACTCAGCATGTGTTTAAGTATATTTTAAGTGAATCACACAGACACAGAGATGCATTGGTACTGCTCTATGCCACTAGTAGCACACACTGGGAGCCATATTGGATTCTGCCACACTGCGCTACACTATCGCACCACATTACTGACTACATCTTTGTGTGCCTCTCTATGTATTCATGATGACCTTTTTGTAAGACAAAGACATGGTTCTTCTGCAATTTGATTTGGTCCCTTGTTACTAATGGCCAGGCATTTAAGATAACAACAAATGTAGTGCCATTTGAACAATAAATAGCCCAAAAACGTGATATAAATACAGAATGAACATTCACTTCAGGTAATATAAAATCATTCTTTTTCCTCTACAAAACTACATGTTTACACACCTGTGGAGCATAAAATTGTTTAATGAATATGCTCATTGTTTGGTAGCCCATTTTGGGAAGTTTTGAAGATGAAGTCAGATGCCTCCAGAAAGAGTTAACATGTACAGTAATAAAAAAAAGTATATGGCAGAAGTATGGTTTCAACTGACAAAAAGGAGATCTATAGAGACCAGAAAACATTATTTCTGAACAACCTCTTTGTTTATTTGAAGCTTTTGGATTTGTCACATGATTTCAGTCCCAACTGGATTATAGCCTAAAATTGCAGCAGGCCTTGGACACATCCCTGGCACATCTAATTTGGTATTTGTCAGCTCTGCTCCAGGCAGCAGCTACGAGAACCATAGTCTGTAATGTAGACCGTTACGGTGCCTGCTCCATGTAGCACCTTCACTGCCTTTCCATTTTGTTATCCGCAGAGGAATACAAAAAATATATATCCAAGTTAGACACGCTTCTCTTTTTAAAATTGCACTTTAAAATTGCAGTTTGGAGACTTTTTTGCAATCAGAGTCAGCAGTGAGTCAAAAAGGAAACGCTTGACCTATGAAACAGACAGCCCTGTAAAGCACTCTTTGACCCTAGACTGACGGGGTCCTTCTTGGGAAAAGCAAACAAACCTCCAAGACAAGGAGCATGATGGGAAAGAGAAAAGGGGGGTGAGCGTACCTATGGAAACAATTGCCGTGGTTACCTGAGTGAAAACCTGGTGCCCTTATGAGCCAGAGTCTAACACCAAACAGGAACTTGATGATACAGCAGAGAGACGAGCTGACACCAATGTTTTTGAATTAGATTTTGCAAGTGTAAAATACTCTGACTGTAGGACTTAATGAAATTAGAGTCTCACCATACTGTGTCTTTAAAATGGAATAAAAATAGCACATTTATGATAGATGACTACTAGATTGTAAGGTATGCGGTTAGATTCAATTTTGAATGTGGTTATTTGCAGAGTACTGCATTATTTAAGTACATTTTACATATGAATCTCCAAAATATCAAATATTACTCACAAATAAAAAGTACAGTCCCAGATTTTATTCTCTCCTGTGCCCCAACTGTGTGTAAGCTCCTGTGTAACCAAACAAACAATCTAGCCATTTGTTTATTCGAAAAATATCATATGAAGCAATTTTCACAATAAAATAAATGAACACTGGAAATGTGTTATTTTTGGCTAGAAAAGAGTATTTCCCTGCACACTGACAGGCTGATGATTTGCAGTGGCAAGGCAACATTAACATTTAAATGTTTTCCCCTCTTCTGTTGCTCATAAAAGAATTTTTGAGTATTTGCCAATTTTAATAGACATTTTGTAAAAATGAAAGCGTAAGTCGTAAGGCTTTTACCTTGACCGCTCCGTGTGTTGAGTCTCACATGTCCAAAGTCCAAAGGGCGAGAGAATGGAATCTACCAAAAAGCCCAATCAATATCACAGCTACCCCTGCCCTCCCCGTCTGCCCCGGCCTGACCGAGACTAGCCTTTGTCACAACCACACACACGCACACGCACACACACACACGCGCACACACACACCCTCACACACACACAAACATACATTCATACACACAAATTCATACACACAGCCTGGGAAGTGCTTCAAAGCCTGTTCTAGCGTTTCAGTCGCACAAAGCCTGGTCCAGGTGCACTTGAGGAGCTGCACCTGTGAGCTCACCTGTCGAACCAGATTCAACCCTAAGATCCTCCCCCACCTCACAACACGGTGACGTATAGCAATAAGGAGGTGGAAAGTACTGTAACTAGATATTTTTTGCTTCCCGGGGTGCAATAAAAATGTGTACATGAAAACTATTTTACTTGAATATTCTAATTTGAACCTTAGGTGAGTAGTGGCCAGACTTTATAAGAAGCAAGGTGTTCTGCTTTTAGATTATTATTAATAAGCAAAGGACCTTTGAACCTTGGTGTGGAAGTGGTCACAACAGTAGTACTACAAAGCAGAACCATTAATAGCATTCATGGCATTTTATATCATAGATGTCAGGACAAATAACTTTAAAGATTACACTGTCCATAAAATACATTTTTTTGGCTCATACTGTATATTATAGCTCAGATATTCAGCTAATGATAAAAAAATTGAAAACTGAAAAGCTGAATTTTACAAAAATTTCTGGATTTATATTTGAGACAATCCTAACACTCAAGTAGCACTTTTGCAGGGGATGTTTATGCCATTTGTACTAATTTTATTTTATTTTTTTTTTGAAGTAAAAGTACTTTTACTGGAATATTTAGCATTTTGCGTACTTCCCTACCACATTGACTACCCTATTGCTCAACCATCCGAATAGCAAACGGCTGAGGCATTTTTGGAACATGCGACAAGGCAACCAGCCAAACATCCATCGATACTTCTTAAAAGTCTAGACTAAGGCACTTGTACTAGTCTATGAGTTAATTAATTTTGACAAGAGTAAGTAGGATTAGTATGCTGTAATCTACATCCAAGCACTAATCCTTACAAAATGCCTCCAGTTTTACACAAATACATATTACATCCAAAAATACTTGTCACTCTTTGCTTTGTGTCAGTATATGGTCATTATACTGTATGTCAGCAGTTAAAGTTGTAACCTGTTATTGCACCTCATGTGATGTAATTTACTATAGACTACAGTCACATTAAGTACTTTGAAAAGTATTTTGGCCCCTAACCAGAAACTCTACATTTCAGATACAGTCAGGAACAGTGCGAGCATCACCTGTTTCTAAAACTATTCTGACACTTTGAGGTATTCGACAGGGATGAGGCCATGCTGTCTGAGGTACGAGCTCAAAAGTGCAGTTGAATTACTGGTGACAGGAGAAAGAACTCCAGGAATGTACTTGTTATGTCACGTACCATATGGTTTCAAGTACTTTCACCTCAACAGCTCTTCGAGAGAGAGATACCATTTTGGATGCAAGTTGGAGGTTAATGACAGGTTACAAACTGCTGTAATACACACTTTGCAATTTTGGACAAGGTGAAAATTAAACTTGTTGACTACCACACTGAAGGCTTCATATATATTTGTGAGGGTATTTGGAAGGGTAAGCAGGAACTGAGAGAGGTAAATGGGGAAGTAGCATTAGAGCTGGCTAGAAATGAACCAATATTCTAATAAGCTATGCTACACAAGGTTACATGATATGAAAAAAATTGTTATACGGAACTGCCCTGCATAAGAAAAGTAATAGGGACAGATGGAAACCGCTATTTAGCTATAATCTGGTGTAGAACATATGTGTTTTGATAAGTTCAATGTCCCTGTATATTGTCCCTTCAAATAAAAACTATACTAAACAAAAACGGATCAATAATAATGGCTTTTACACTTCCATGGTTTCACTACAAACCTGTATGTGTCTGCCCTATTCATACTAAAACCATACTTAATTGTGTAGCTACACAGCAAAGTTTGGAGTTGAAGTTTGGGAAAAAATGACGATGAAGGTGATGATGACACAGGCTTGATTCATTTAGCCCAAAACAAAGCAAACCCAAATACTGTAAATTGATTCACCTTTTTAGTACACTCCCATTATGCCCTGTTGTGTAAATATCAAAAAACAGTCTAACAAACTAACTCATAAATACATTTTGATTTTGGGTGGATTGTAATTAAAAAGTACCAAGAATTATACAAAAAAAAACATATTTTGTCTGTTACCATTATTACTCAAAATCATATTTGGAAATATAATTGTAATGAAATCACAAAATCAAAAAGCAAAATTTAACTTTTATATGTGAATCTGGGATGTCTTATCTCATCAGCGCTGTAAAGACTACAGAGTGGAAGTCGCTCAATGGAAATGTTGAGTTTTCTCATTAAAATAATTTTGAATCTGAATTGAAATCAGTATAAAAATGCTGACATGTCCTTGGGTCATCTAAAGGTGCTGGAATAATGTGAATATTTGAATGTTAATAGACATTTACATTGCATCTTATATGAACTTCAAACTGCAAAAAGCCACAGCCAAAACCTCAATGTCACTATCAATGACAGCCAGAAGGCACACCACATACGCATTATTACCCATCCTCCCTTGAGTCTCCCTTTCCCTTACAGCAACAGATCACACAGATTCAGTCAAGTCTCCGCAGTCAGTCAGTGTCAGAATCATACCCATAA